CCTTCGGGAAGGATCTGAAATTGATGAATTGGTCAACTATTGCACGGATCTTGGCGAGAAAGTAAGCAGGTACAGTGAGGATACGTAGACAGTGCCATATTCTGCTGAGTATCAACGTATTGGCTATTAAACCGCGCCCTTGAACCGAGAGTCCTCGTGAGGCAAGACAATGAGCAATCAATCGAGTGGAACCAAGCAATTCGTCTAAGAAAGTCATCATCTGTGTGGAAGAACTGGTCAGCGGATAACCAAGGTAGATGGCCGCCATATGGCTATTGGAATCATGCCAATGCGTTATATCCCGATGCTGGAGGCAACTGCGCCAGAGAGGTTGGGCTTGTCCAGATAAGGAAACCGCGATAGTCTTGTCTAGGTTGAGCTTCGTATTTGAAGCTAACTAGTATGCGTTAATGAGAGCCAACAAAAAGGTCAATTCTATCGGATCTTTTAGAAACACCAAAACATCATCAGCGTATGCAAGCAGTTTAAGAACAGGTGGCCGACCAATAGGCCGTGGCATTTGACTGAGAGCTGGGTCATGGAACAAGAAGCCTGGTAATAGAGGACATGAGTGAATCGCACGGAGAAGGGGTTCCAAAGCCAAGTTAAAGAGAAAAGGCGATAGAGGGTCGCCCTGTCTCAGACCCCGTTCTTGTGTAAAAGCAGTAGAGAGGAAACCGTTCACCTTAACACATAAGGATGTACTAAAGAATAAGGAGGTGATACAGTCGACGAACTGAGTAGGGAAACTAAACCGGAGAAGACAAGCGCGTAGATAAGTTGGATGCACCCGATCGTATGCTTTCTCCTGATCGAGAAGAAGAGCAATGCCTGGTAAACGATAACGACGTGCAATGTCCATGGTCAAGCGAGTAACAAGTCCATTGTCAGCGATGAATCTTTCGGCGAGAAATCCTGTCTGGTGTGGTAGTAGAAGGTCTGGCACGATGCCCCCAAGTCGGTTTGCCAAAAGGCGTGTAAACACCTTGGCATCAGCACAAATGAGTGAAATTGGACGCCAGTTCTTCAAATGTCGCCGGTCTCCTTTTTTTGGCAACAAAGTTATCACTGAGCGTTGCCATGTAGCCGGGAAAAGGTGTTCAGTTAGTGCAGTGTTTAACACATCACAGAATAAACTACGACAAAATGGTTGCTGGAAAAGGAGCCGTAGAACTTCGTACGGCAAGCCATCGATTCCGGGACTACTGTGGGAAGGTGTGTGAGCGAGGCACGCCTCAACCTCTTCGTCAGTCCATTCAGTAAGGAGAAGTGTTTGCTGTGAATCATCAAGTCGAGCAGTGTCCGGGAGTTGAGATAACAAAAAATCAGTTGCTTGAGGAGATACTTGTTCGGTAGAGTAAAGTTTACTATAGAAGCCTTTTGCACAATTGGTTAGTTCTTCTGGCGTCGATGATATAGTACCGTCGTCAGCAACCAATTCGGAAATTGCCTGTTGTTGTTGGCGGTCTTTTAGACATTTGTAAAAATAAGCATTAGAGCGTTCCCCTAGCTCGCGCCACTTATGTCCAGATCGCAAAGCTAGAATCGAGGCGCTATCTTGGTAGTGTTTGTCTAGCTCAGACTCTATAACGGCAATCATAGCTGATGTTGAGGGGTCTATTGTTCTCCGTAGAAGCTGTTGTCGTCCGGAAAGTAAATTCGCCTGTGATCGAAAATAAATGCACCCAATGGTGAGAACAAAATTCATATTGTACGAAATGTAAATTTGTCGTTACCAAGAATATTTTCGTAGTATCAGCCTTGACATCCATGGAGATACTGCATTTCCAAATTTAGATGTCGTATTGAAACCGTTGCAATGCTATCAGAGTAATAACAAATACAAAAAGAATATGGCTCACTATTCCATTTGACAGTAATATTAACAGGTGGGCTGTCTTGGAGCTGAAACTAACCTAATATTAGAAATCGCCCTCTTTAGTCTTCTTGTAAAAGTTTAAATTCTTTATTCGGTTTTTCCATGAAATCAGAACATGTAGTCATGTTTGGCAGTGCATATTCTTGAATAATCACCATGTAGATTTTTCCTATTTGATGTGATTTCTTTGTTCCAGGTACCTGTTCCTGAAGCTTGTTTGAAAAAGAAAAACATATAGGAACCCATTTTAATTGAGCCCTTTTTTTGCTTCTTTACAGCAGTTATCAAGTGTCCCTCTGAGTGTTCAAAGATTCACCAATCAAAACTAGCCTGTCCTCATGGTCCTTGCTCTGACTCGCTTGTCCCGCCATCTTTGCTCTCTGGCGTGTATCTGGAACGTTCTCCAATAGTCTCTTCTGACGTCCTGGGTTCTCTCTGTCCTCCGTTCCTTTTTTTTTTTTGTTTAATTTGTTTAAACAATCCTGGGTAGTTATCGCTACCCTCCCCAGACTGCACCTTGGTGGTAAGTAAAACTAATATTAGGATATGTGCTCTAATACTAACATACTTTTTCTCTCTTTTTCTACATATACTCATTATCTCTCTCTCTCTTTTGACATGATGTCGTTTTATTCAAACGTATTTTTCTTTGTCGTCTTTTTACGACAATATTTTATAAAATTAACGTATACTTTAAAAGCCAAGCATGCTTGGATTTAATCTCCGGAACATTGAAAGAGAGAAAACCTTTTTAATGTATCTTTTGATATTTGATCATGTCAAAACTTTTATTAAAGTCACAATTTGTACGGCAATGTCTAAGAGCACGCACGATTCACTTGGCAAGACACATTACAACAGAGTGTAGATTGATTCGACCTAGCATTTTTATTAATGCACATCGACATATTCCCATAATCAAACGACTGATCCATTCTGATTGGCCTTTGTACCAGAAAGAAGAATCTGTGAGTAAAGAAAATGAAGCATTACTTGGCGATTGTCCTGGCTGTGGCGCTCCTTTTCAACAAACGGACAGTAACAAGCCTGGATACCTGGTAGAGAGAAAAGACAAGGAGATTAAAAAGAAGAAGATTCAGAAAAAGAGTTTATCAGACGAAGAATATCAAAAGCTTGTGGAGAGCTTAGACGATGAGACTCGCACGCTGCTTGAGGGCGACGAGGATAATGAATTGGCTAAAGAAAATACTCAAGAAGGGACTGTCACAAAACCCCAACGTACTGTATGCCAACGCTGTCACGAGCTTCAGTATCATCACAAGAGCACAACAAGCTCTTCACCCAAGTTCTTAAGAGAAAGTCAACAGTATGGCTCACTTGAGTTTTTGAAAACGAAGCAGGATCCGCTTGTTGTTGTAGTATTAGATATTACCGATTTGCCAAGTTCACTGGGACATCTACCAGAGCTGCTTGCACAGAACCCTAGTGCACGAGTGCTGCTCGCAGCCAACAAGATGGATATTCTACCAGTGTCAGCAAGACGACATGAGCAGCGCATAAGGGATTGGATAGTGCAACATGTTAAAGGCTTGGGATTGTCTACAAAGCAAATTATCTCGACCACATTAGTGAGTGCCAGAAAGGGATGGGGTATTACAGGCTTAATGCATCGCATTGATGCAGAAAGACGTCCAACGGATGATGTATATCTGGTAGGATGTACTAATGTGGGCAAATCTGCCCTTGTAAATAAGTTTATTTCACAAATTAGAGGCGGTCTAGATGAACAGGGCCGTCAATTAAAGCAACAATTGAAAGAAAAGTATCAGATCACAAGCTCAGTAGTGCCAGGAACAACCATGGGTACCATAAAGATCCCATTACATATTTTGGGAATGACATCTGATGATCATTTAGAGGCTTGGAAGAAGCGTCGATTTGTCATCAAAGAACGTTATATGATTGATACGCCAGGCATCATTAATGAACATCAGTTAATTCACAAATTATCATTTGACGATCAAAAGAGGATTGTCAATCAAAAGGAGATAAGCCCGGTGACTTTCAAACTAGAACCAGGTATGGTTACTATTCTCTATTTTGCTCTTATCTGCAAGTTATTAACTTAATTTACAGGCAAATCTCTACTACTTAAGCCACTGATACGAATTGATCTGCTGGAATCAAATGAACCAGTGCTTTTTACCATGTTTAGTCCCCTAGCTCCACATATTACTCGAACAGAAAAACTACCACCCGCCTACGCTCTTGAATATAAAACACATGTTCGACCCATGAAGGACAATACGATATTATGCACTGACTCACTAATGCCTATGGACGAAATTGTAAGAGTGAATGGTATTCACCCATCACGTGCATCAGTTGACTTTAGCTTTGCGGGTGCTGGATGGGTTGCACTGACGGGTTTATTTGAAAATGCCAAGTTTAGAGTATGGCTGCCCAAGGATCTGGACCCTTATAAAGTGTTTACAATACGCGATCCACCCTTCTTGCCTTTTGAATATAAAGGATCCATCAGAAAGTTCTTTGGATCAGGAGAACGGGCAAAGAAATAGAAATATAATATATAAATGATAATATAATAAAACTGTAGATTCTACCAAAAATGTCGACATGCAAGCAAAAAAATATATAGGCTGATCTCTTGTCTTTTATTGCTTATTGTAATTTGCAGGGAGAGGTGAACATAAAACCCTGGCCTTTTCCAAAACTTCTATACGAGAACCATAGACAACGAAAGGGGGACATACACAAAATTGAATTATTCCTGAAGTTTGATTGTCCTCATCGTTCATTGTTTTTAGATCAAGTGGTTCTGAACCTTCTCCCACAGCAGCTGCTGCGATCTCAACCTCTTGTCCCCTTATAGCATAGCCAATATATGAAGCCAGCTCAACCATTTTGTTAATAACCGTTGAATAGCGCTTTTTAGAATCCTGTTCTCGTGAATCATGTTGGTCCATAAAAGGATATGCTTTGAGTAAAGAAGAATACAATGAGTTGTACATTCGCTTGTTGAATTTTGTAATATCTGCTTGAATATCAGAATTTGGTGTATTTCCTGCAACAACCGTCTTGGCCACCTCTTGTCTTAATCTAGTGCAAAATGCCGGATCATATCGATCAAACCAAAACTGAAGCTGGGTATAAGGCTGAGATATCTTTAATCCTGGAAATGTGTTATAATTCATGCTTTGAACCAAGACATCCATAAGAAACTTTTCTGTGAGCATCACAATTCGCTTCATCGGAATAGGATCACCTAGTTTAGCAATAGCTTCATTCAGATTGATCCAAAATGAACCAATGGCTGCTGATGCGACCTTTGGGTCACATTGACTGGCAAGGTCTAGACTAAGATCTTTGATCATTGCCTTTAGTTCTAAAAGCCTTGTACGAATGGTGGCTGGATCATCGTCTGTTGCTCTGCGAGAGCGTATGTGTTCATTGTAGTTAATTAGTAGTTGTTGTTGATCCTTTTTACGCTGTACCATTCTTTCCTGAATTGCTTTTTCCTTTTCGATAAGGTCTGCATTGTAGTGTCTTAAAAAGTACAACTCCTCATCTAAACGCTTCACGATCTCTCTTTTTTGCTTAATCTTGGAAATTAATATTTCATTAGCGCGATTGATTACTGGCTGCTCTACTGGTGCATTGTCGACAGGGGTTAAAGTAGCAGTAGTAACAGTAGTAGCAGCAGTAGTAGTGGTAGTAGTAGTAGGAATAGCAATTTGTTGCTGTTGGTTAGAAGCGGGTGTTGGAACTAATGTCGTGTTTGATGTTGCTGTCGTATTTTCTAACGCAGTATTTTCAGCTACTAATTTATTGTCACTCAAATTAACATTGCTATCCTCTTTTGCTACAGTGCCTTCTTTGCTTGGCTCAATTGTAGCTCTATTGTCTACATTCACATTCTGCTGTTCAGTGGATGAAGCAGTAGGGACATCTGTTACTTCTTTTTCTAAATTAGCTAAAAGATAGTTAATACAATTAATTTTCTCTTCTTCCCTTTTATAATCTCATAATTTACTCTGCATGTCTTCGTAGCTAGTGTTGAGGGGAAAAGAGAGAGATTATAAGAATAAAATCTATAACGCACATCTATATAAGACTGACCTTGTGTAACTGTTTACCCTACAGTCTCCACACTTTAAATTCAGACAATGTTAGTTTTTTTTCGGACGAATCAAAATTAAACTTGACAGACTATTTACCTGTAAAAATTGAATTCCTTCAACAGGATAACCGTGTTCGATACGGCGACGAAACTCATGTGGTCTACCACATCCACAAAGGATGTTATTGACGATGTTGAATATGTTCCTAACAGATAGCTATACTCAACTCTACGATGGCCCCACTGCTAAACTCTTGTCTGCTTGTCATCCATCATTGACCTAAGACTCCCTCTTTTGGCTTCCCATGACTCGTAGTGATTGTAGTCGTGTGCTTCGCTGGCGCTTTGGTTGGATCACTGGGAGTAAACCCAGCCATGCCTGTACCACGCAAATGCTGGATTCACACATGCTCATTTAATTGAACGTCTCCACATGCATAGTTATCTTCAATTACCACCTACTATCGAAGACCCTCTTTCGTTTATCCTGAATCAGTTGTCTTCTAAAAAAAAAAACCTCGCAGTCCTCATTCCTCTTCCGCTTGGTTTGTCCGTTGGCCAGCGGTTTGTCTCCTCTTGTGTAGAATAGACTCCTCGAATGGCTCCCTTCGTCTTCCTCCCACACTAGTGCACCATACTCTTGCTCCAATGTATTTAATTTATTATAACAAAAACAATTTAAACGTATATCCATCTGATATATTCATTTGAATATATTTCTCTCTAGGAAATGTCAGTTTCTCGTTCTGATAATGGTATTCGATCAGCATTCGCTAATGCTTTTTCTTCTGCTAGTTTGGTGTTTCGTTGCCTTGCTCGTTCATACAAAAACCTTCTTAATAGTCTCAAGTTTTTACTATGCGCTCTATAAAGCATATCTAAAAGGATGCCAAGTATTGGAATAAGTCCAAGCTATAGATCGAGTTAGTTCTGCTTTTGTTTACGGAATGATTAAATTACAAGAAAGTCTACACTGATATGATACAACATCTTCTTTCTGATCGATCTTGGTAGCTCCGCTTGACAAGCCAGTTTATAGAGTGATAGAGAAAACATTAAAGAAATAACCTTGCCAACAATGGGTATAAGCTCTAATAGGATATCATATCCAATCCAGCAACAGCATAGTTTAAACATTTCTTCAAACTTTTTTACGCGACGAGTATATTTTTCTAATACTATGCAATCCCTTTCTGATAGTTGAATTTTGGTACTCTCTGCTGCTTTTCTTCTCCAAAGTAAGCTCATTAAAAAGAAAAATGATTTCATAAAATGGGACTTTGAAATGATGTATTTATGCTAGACGATTTATACAATTTTATTGGACGACTTGAGATTTTCTGTAGGACAATTGTAACAGCAGGCTAAAATGATCCATAAACGCATAACGCCGCATTCCGTCTAATACTGTTTAATACTCTTACTAAAGCTGTTTGACCAGCTCTTCGCTTTCTAATATTAGCATGAATCATATGCTGTTGGTGAAAAGCTCAATGAGGGCAGTTACATGTTCAAGTAATAGGTTTTAATGGTGTGCATCTGTTTCGCCTGATAATAACGAACCATTTTACTTAGGAAGAGTCATGGTTATCTGTGCAATTTTTGTGGTGAAACTCATTCTTGCATAATTTGGTTTAAAGAACAAAATTTATTCATATGTCGTCTTTTCGGTCATAAAAAATAATAAAAGAACTATTTAGATCAGATCAAAAGAGAAGTAAAGAGTGAATAAAAAAACACTTTTTCTTCCCGAGGGTAAAAGACGATATTAAATAAAAAAAAAGGATAAAAGATTATCCAGAGCCATCAAGTCATTGAAGGAAACACCCATCCAGAAATATGGTTTCCTGGGCAACCGTGTTGAAGTTGATCTGACTCCAAGAGGGGTGCAGCAAATTATTGACTCATAGAACCGCCAAGAGCCAGTGTACCTTGTGGGAAGCCGAAAGCCCGTTAAAATCTTATACGATTAAAGAAAATAATGTGCTGTTATGGGTGCATTGAAACAATATAATTTCGTCCCGCCCGAGCCAAATCAAAAAAAGGTACATAGGGTCTAAAAACCCTTTTGTGATCAAAGGAGGAAAAAGGAAAGAAAGAAGCGAAGGAAACGAAGGAAACGAAGGAAACGAAGAAGGATTAGGTCGACATATGTTGAGAGGAGAGAAGAGGAAGAGGAAGCCATTGGAAGCGACTGTTATACACTTTTTTTTCATAAATTATTCGCACACATTACAAGATCAATAACAATTCACCTTAGTTAGTATTCGATGTCTTCTTTATTGTTTAAAAGATAACATTTGATAATATGTAAAATGAGCTTGATATTTTTGAGTATAAGATAAATGTGGTCAAGACTTTATAACAAAATGAAACGTTGTTGGAGCCTTAATATAAATAGTCTGATGTTGACTTCTTTTTCATCTTTGGACCAAAAAGTAAGGCCAGCTATTCCCTAGCTAGCCCCAAGGTATGTTATATTCTTTACTCTTGTAAGAAACTGGCGTATAGTATTATAGATTATAAATCGAAAACAGTACCGATTCTAGCTGGGGGTAGTTTGGTTCTTACCAAGCCTTGGTCCCATCCACTCTCTCTCTTGCTCTCTTGCTCTCTTTCTTTCTTTCTTTCTTTCTTTCTTTCTTTCTTTCTTTGTTCTTTCCTTCTTTCTTTCTTTGTTCTTTCCGAGCTGGTTATCGGTGGCTCATCAATAGTACATTTTGGGTAGGATATTCATAATTTTACTCACTTTTCCTGCTTCTTTTTCTCTTATAAATCCTCCTCTTTATAATATAAGTATTTAATATTAATCTAATAGCTGATTTGCTAACCTTTTCTTTATTCATTCTTTTGCTTCTGAAAGGCTCTCTTTTGTCATTATTTGCTGTCTGAAATTATCATTTTTCTATTAGTATGCGCATAGTTTCTGAGTAAAGCGTAAAAGCGTTTATTTAATGATGTGTTTAATGTTATTGACTATTCATCTGCAAATGGGCTTGGCTTTGAGCATCAGCTTCTATCCAACCCTTAATTGCTTCATAAACTCTATCTTGAGTGTCCTTGATAGCGCTAGAGACGGTTTCAGACACGAAAAAGTCCTATGGCAAATATTTAGTCTTGCAAATACACACACAAGCATATCATTTGTTTACCCAATGATGAACAGATTTTGGCAAAACGGTGTAATAAGCATCTTCTTCCCAGCTGGTACGATCAGGTGCATCATCGCTTTGAACACTCAATGTTCTCCAAGGATCCCATTCACCGTCAAGCCAATACACACGATCCAAGCTGATGCGCCAGCCTTTGTATTCTTGATTAATTTGATGCCATTGGGGCAGTCTGGGCACAGCATGTTCGCCAAATAGTAATGGACACTGACGTTGGTACCAATTTGCATTGAGCTTGCGAGAGACAAGAGTGGGTCTCCAGATAGGCGAAGCAGTTTGCCAGTACGCGTATTCTGTACAAATCTGCCACATCCATGCCTTTGAGTCAGGCGCGATATCTGCATAAAAAGCCGAACGAGGATCATGGCTATCAAAACATTGGTTAACGTCTTCTTCATCGCACGAACGCTTTATAAGACGCTTAATGTAGCCTCCATACGCATCAACGTATTCCTGCAAAGTTGATTGTCCTTCAAAGATAGAGCAGAATTTTTCTTCAAAAGGATTGGATTCTGGTGTCATTGCTTGCCACAGACCTAAGGGAGATGACAAGACTACAGATAGTTTTATCAGTTAAACACCATTTTTATATATTGTTATTATTACGCTCTGCAAAGTCATCATCATGCTTCAAGTCTTCAGCTCCAAATCTTCTTTTCAAGTTAGTTTTTGCCTTCCCAAAAGGACTGAATAGAATGTGATCGATAAAGAGGACGACCGATTGGATAGCATCCACGCAATGCTTGGGTCCATATTTGCGGATAGGTTCAAAGTAATCGTAATAGTTGAATCTCATTTCTACTGGAGCAGAAGAAGGTACAGCAGCAAATACAATATCGGGATACTTCAAACGCATCCAGGCAGCTAGGTTACCGCTGTAACTACCTCCGTAGACAATGTATTTTGTTTCGGGAGCAGGAGGGAGGTCTATATCAAAGTTGGGAATCTTTTTTTTAAGAGGTCAATCAAATGCTCAACCAAGTTTGGCTTCTATGCTACCTTCAGTTCTCTGATGAAAGAAGCAATGTCTTCAAGTGCTTGGGCCGTAGTTAATGTTCCCAAGGTTTTGGCTGTAAGCTCCTGTAAAATAATTCATCAGTCACTGTCTGCATTTAATTTCCTTTTTTGTACTGTTTTACCGAACTAGGTAATGAAAGGCCGTAGAATCGGTGCTCCATAACAACAATAATGCCTTGTAATCTTTTGGCAAGCTCAGCCATGGAAGAGTTGGTTACATAAAATGATCGCTCATCGGCTGCTGTCTCTCCAGCATTATATACTTTATAAATAATCGTTAGGTCCGTCTACAGCTCGTGATGCGTGTTCAAATATTACTTATGACAGGACCACCAGGTTGATACCATTCTGTATTAGCCCAATACCTATGCTTGAAGGTTGAACAGTTTTTCGAAAAATGGTCAACGGGTTGGTCAAAATAGAATGGACCATATTTCTCGGGAAGTTTTGTGTCATTTTTAAAAGTAGAGTCTAACATCATCGTCAGCATTTTCCTTGCATGGCTACCAGGAGTCCACATGGCATCAGTATACATAAAGCTTAGTAGCAGTATAAAAGTTACTATTATCTGCCTCATTGAACGTTGTAGATAATAAAATGTAAGAGAAAAATAAGCAACAATGCACTTAGTGTTTTACTGGTTTTTGCATTTTGAATTCAGACAGGACTTTTCATTTGAAATTGTGATTGGCTGACAACAAATTAGTGATTGTTAATAAGAGATAACAAATAATGACAAAAGAGAGCCTTTCAGAAGCAAAAGAATGAATAAAGAAAAGGTTAGCAAATCAGCTATTAGATTAATATTAAATACTTATATTATAAAGAGGAGGATTTATAAGAGAAAAAGAAGCAGGAAAAGTGAGTAAAATTATGAATATCCTACCCAAAATGTACTATTGATGAGCCACCGATAACCAGCTCGGAAAGAACAAAGAAAGAAAGAAAGAAAGAAAAAAAGAGAGCAAGAGAGCAAGAGAGCAAGAGAGAGAGTGGATGGGACCAAGGCTTGGTAAGAACCAAACTACCCCCAGCTAGAATCGGTACTGTTTTCGATTTATAATCTATAATACTATACGCCAGTTTCTTACAAGAGTAAAGAATATAACATACCTTGGGGCTAGCTAGGGAATAGCTGGCCTTACTTTTTGGTCCAAAGATGAAAAAGAAGTCAACATCAGACTATTTATATTAAGGCTCCAACAACGTTTCATTTTGTTATAAAGTCTTGACCACATTTATCTTATACTCAAAAATATCAAGAAAAGATTGATAGCCAACTAAAGTGTAATTGCTATTGTTTAACCGTATATTATCAAAATAATCAGCATTGGAGATAATGCATAGTACAGTTTGTTTATTTGAGAGGAACGAACTTGGAAGAGTGAGTAGCACCAATACCGGGACGACCGTGCTTAACGGGCTTGTAGGTGATGGAGAATTCACCGAGGTAGTGGCCAGTCATTTCAGGCTTGATTTCAACTTGGTTGAAGGTCTTACCGTTGTAGATACCAATGACAGAGCCGATCATTTCAGGAACGATGATCATATCACGGAGGTGGGTCTTGACAACTTCGGGTCTTTCACCGGGTGTGGCAGCCTTCTTGGCAGCACGGAGCTTCTTGATGAGACCCATAGGCTTACGCTTAAGACCACGTTGGAATCTTCTACGGGCACGAGCATGGACGAGGTCCATGAACTATCAATATTCTTTTAGACTTTTATTCTGTATTCAATAAACCCTGCTACTTACTTGTTCAGAGGACATGTCCAAGAGTTGTTCGAGTTCAACGCCACGGTAGGTAAACTTACGGAAAGTTCTCTTTCTGGGGGCAGTTTGTTCGTCAGCCTATACAAATAATGTTCAGCTAATGTTCCAATAATACAAATGGAAGCTTGAAATAAGATGCAATAATAGCATTCTTGGAAAGGAGAAACAACATGATCACCGTTCAGTTATATGTAGATTGCCCAATTAGCTGTGCATTTTTTTTTTGATACATTTTTTTAATTGTTGGCCATCCTTTCCGTTCTTTAATGAAAATGATCCATCTATCATCCTTTCCTTCTGTTCTATTGACGCTCACTCTGCATATCTCAAGCTTCCATTAGCTGTTTATGTTGTCCACATACCATGTTAAGCACAAAAGGAAGGATTACTTGGCTTGCTGATGTTTGGTGTATACAAGTCCTTTCTGCAGGTGTCCGATAACCAGGTAGTAACTTGTTTGTTGTTCGGGCCGCACAATTTGATATCCTCCGCTGATAATCATTTTCTCTCTTTGTGGCTTAACTTTCTATTTCCGCCAACTGAATGCGTTCTTGGCGTAAATTGAAAAAGTACAGAATAAAATTGAAATTCAGTTGTTGTTCAAATTCAAACATAGCAGTAACCTTTTGATTTCCTATAAAAACTAAAGCAGCATCTTGGGTTCAGTACCCTTTTCAACTGGGTGTTGATTTGTGTAAATTATAAAAATATTAAAAAGTAACAAAACACGTAAGAAATGTAATTATTTGTTATAAATCATATATTTGATCATATAAATAAAAAGTACTATTTAAACATAGAAACGAACATAAAAGTAATTTCAACTAAAGCAAAATTTAGGCGTTCAGGTCCAAAGCGATAGAGTTGTGACATACAGTGTTTTGCGTTTAAAAATACACTTTTTTAAAACTAAAGCCTTTCAATTAAGTAGCTGAATGTCAAGTAATCCAGTTTGTAAACAATGCTTACTCTGGATAAATTTGACAATCCAGAAATATATCAAGAAACATTAACTAGTACAAAGGATATCTTTAAACTGAGAAAGGAAAATCTCACGGTGTTTAGTTACAAAACACCACTTGCATTTGCTCGTTGATGTTCCAGCAACAAGTTAAAATTTTTAATGCCATAGAAGATAAAAATAATGGGGTTAGAAAAAGAAAGGCCAACGCTACATGCACCAAAAAACAGGTTAATACTACGGACGCTTCCTTGGGGCGCTACCTATGTTATCACTATACAACTTCACACTACCAGATTTGACCTAACCTAAGACTGTCCAGTCCACCCTCTCTGACATAAAATACGAATTTGTCATAATTACAAGTGAATGATCTTGGTTGATCAAACTGACCACATAAAACTAGAATAAATACATCAATAACAACAGTTCTTTTTTATCTCTTCTTGAAAATAAACACAAACCAAGATGAAAACTTTATAAAGTCGTGTTTAGCGTGGCATCACGCGCTGAAAAGCTATGTTGAGCTTAATCATAGGTAATGGGTAGAGATAGCAATCATTGAAAATTTTACAAAATAATGCATTTGAAATTGCATGATCCCCTACTGCGGATACTTTGGACAACCGGTGAAGCTATTGCCGCAAATGATAGACAACCTGCGCCCCAGATCTTTTGTAATTCATGTTTTTGTGTTCTCGAGCTCAAGAGCTTCAACAGCTTTTGTAGACTGAGACCTTAAGGTGGACCAAAAATGCACCAATAATTAGATAAAGTAGATGGAACTACTCAAGGTAAAAAAAAAAGCAACCATAAAATAAGTGTGTAGGCTCTAAAAAAAGATCACCAACAATAAATTCTTTTCATTATAGATTTTATTAAATATTTGAACGCACCTAAACATTCAATTTGCCTTGCGGTATTAGATTTTGGTGGACTTTCCAGTAGATCCCATCATACTCAAGAATTGTTGAAGGATTGCCCCGCAATCAAAAAAATTGCCGTGGATAGTTTAGATTTTCCTTTAATATCAAACTAAAATATCAGCGGATACAAAGAGGCTATTCAGCTAGAGCCATATTTTGTCAGAATAAAAGAAAGACAAATAAGAACTTTTATATGAATGCCTTTGAGATAGATTGGATTACAAGAAATGGTAATCCGCTTGAATTTCTCCTTTTATAGATAAAGCGCAGCAGCGCAAACGAGACAGAGTAAGGGACAAATAAATAGCCAAAATCCACGCTAAGCACAGAAGAATATATAATGTAAATCAAATAACTGAGAGTGTAAACATTTTGAGAGTAGTTAGCACCTGCTTAGGTTTTTATTCACGAACCAACAGTTTTTTCATTCCTCCTGTCTGCTCTGTTTACATTCATCCGTAGCTATATTTTTATATTTTCAGTCCTCATAAAGAGCATCTCTCTTTTGCTTGTTACTTTTTATAATAAATATTCTTCCATCATACTCTTCCCATTTGCTCAAAGGAACATTCATTCAGAATCACCAAAAATGACTCCTTCGGCATTTCTTTGATGAAAACTGTATCTATGAACCCAGCTGAGCTCCAGAAGATAATGAGAGTTTGTAGCAGTATAGCTCACCTCACACAAATGCAGATCGTTTGCCTCACCCGAACATGGCCGTACTTTTTATGCTTTTGGAAATTTTATGCTTTTATAGAGTACAAATTTCTACAACTTAAAATAGCACCGTCGTCAAAACTATACCAATCACTGAATGCATAAAGTAAATCAATTCCATTCAATTACCTTTCATTATGTGAAGCATTTAAATAATTTAAAGGTGCATGATAATTGCAAAAGTTTTCTCTTGAATTATCTCTAGCAAGGTTCATATGATATCAAGCACTCAGTTACTCAAGATTATTATCTTCTGGTTACCCTTACCCTCCGTGTCATCGTTACAAAATGCGTAACCAGGCTACAATGTTATCGCTAAGCAACATAATGAATCACATAGAGCTTGGGTGCATAATCGTCGCCATATATCGGGTGTGTAGCTGTTAGAGCTCAACTAGAATAGTGAATCAAGCCTATTGTTTCAAGCGAAAAAAAAAAGCGTGTGAACTAAAGAATTGTTACACACGCAGATTATGTGATATTGCGTAAGTCGCACCCGATAAAATTTCTAAACAATTGCCCAATGTTAAAATTTGATTTGACCTCCGTCGAGGACGTTTTTATTGAATTAAAGACGTGCAGTATCCCCTTTCTTTACTTTCTTCTTTTCTTCTCTTGACTCGTCAAAATATGGAAGTAGAACCATATAATCCTTCAAAGAATATACCTGATCAGCAGCCAAGAGCCAAAGAGCCATCCTGCTCCATTAACTCTCAATCAGCTACTTCTACACTCTCTGTACATCGTGAACTATCAGAAAAAACGTCAACGGCATCAGAAAAGAAAAAATTTGACTACAAGTCATGGCTACTATGGTGGAACTCTGAAGAATGGTGGCCATGTTGGATTGGCCTCATCTTTTTTGGATGCATCACTTCTGCTGTTAAGCACAATATACCCTCACCTAAATTTTTACCCTGGGAAAAAAATCCATTTCTTACTTTTGCCACACCCGGCAACTATGGACTCTTGGTCATCTGTGTCATGATGGGAGCACTTCTTTGGTTATCTATGGCGGCTACCCGCGCACGAAATTGGAAAAAGTTCCCCTTGGGTTATTCTGTAGTATTCATTATTGCGCTTATTAGCAAAATGCTTGCCAGCAATGGTAACTAAACAGACTGAGCCTTTCATCTTTTTTTACTCACATCCCTTTCCTCTGTAGTTACATTACACAAGGCAAGTATTGGTGACTCCATATGGGCCATTATCTTGGGATGCCTTCTTCGCAACCTGATTCCTTTTTTTATCAAGTCAAACAGTCTGCCTCCATGGTTAAAGATTGCACAGCAAACAGAACCTTATATTGCTATCAGTTTGGTGCTTCTCTGTATTGATATAAGTGTTCTCAGACCATTGGCCCCTCGTGCCTTGTTTGTTAGCTGGATTGATACCCCTACCTTATTCATGATTGTTGCTTATTTTGGTTGGAAGATGCTAAAGATTGATACCCAAACAGCCATCATTATGTCAGGAGCTACTTTCATTTGTGGATCTTCTGCCGCTATTGCCTTGGGTTCTAGTATGGGCGTGCCCCATAAAACAGAGATGCCAATTGCAATCATATCCATCTTTACTATTCCTAGTATCATTGCCTTACCTTATATTGCCAAGCGATTTGATTTTTCAGCTACCGTGAGTGGTGCTTGGTTTGGCGGCTGTGTCGATTCCACTGGCGCCGTTATTGCTGCCGCAAGCATCTATGGTGACAAAGAAGCCATTGATACATCTGCTGTTGTCAAGATGATGCAAAACATCCTAATAGGACCATTATCAGTTCTAATGGCGTGGGCTTGGTCACGGTATGAGCTAAAGGCTGCTTATAAGCTAGAGGAAGAGCTTCTTAGAAGAAGTGAAAATTTGGATGACGTTACAGTACAGGATAATGAGCATGATAATGCTATAGAAGATACAAACACACCAACCGTGAAGCGTCCTCGAAATACCCATGCATTGAATAAACCTAAAGAAAAGGCATATGTCCTCTTATGGAAACGATTCCCCAAGTTCGTCCTTGGCTTCATCATAACGGCAATCTTGTTTAATACAACCATAGATAACAACCCTGAAACGCGTTCTCTTGTCAACTCATTCTGTTTTTATGTCTCTGAATGGTTTTCAACACTTTCATTCGTCAGCATCGGTTTAGGCCTCCAAATCAATGAAATGAAGCAAAATATACGAAGCTTAGGAAAGCTAATCACGCTTTATATTATTGCACAAATGGTTGATATTGTTGTTACATGTGTTTTAGCATGGGCAGCATTTGTCCACATGTAAATATGATTTTATAGATACTATTGACGGTTTCATTTCACTGCATATCCCCCTTGTTTAAATATCTCCCTTGAATAAAACAAAAAAAAATACTCTTTCATTTCTCAATAACGAATATATGGACTACTTGAATCCAAGCGCTGCCAATGTGCCCTTTGATAGATTTGAATCTGATTCTATTACCGTTTCATCCGTTGCTCGAACTAGTCGGCTAAGATTCTTATGGTGCTGTTGGGACCAGATACTAGAAATAAAAAGGACGGTTGGGTACACTTTTTTGTCACTTACCCTCTTACAGGTACACAATTAGCTTTAAAGTGTTCCAACATGAAATATTAAACAAAAAGCTTGTTGCTGATGATAGGAGGTGGCTGCTATCACTACCTTAATACTATCATCAAAAGAACACTGTGATAGGACATTGAGGATGTACATTATTTTGCACGCGGTTCGCCTTGTCCTCTCTTGTTTTATTCTTGTTACATTTGTTATAAAAAATACAGTTAAAAGGACACGATCAGAGAGACATCCGGGAGATATACGAGGTTATCAATCATATACCATTAGAAATGGTGCATTTGGAATAAGGAAAACTTTTTTTGGAGCTGAACTCATTGAAGTCGATGTAGAGCGCATTCCATATAGATCAAATAGTTACCCTATAGCAAACTCTTGGGGTTATACTCAATACAGCACCTTTCTCCAAAGGTAGTATAAACTTAAACTTAATGGAAGTAGGCTGTCTGATCTCTGTTAGGTTATGCTATTTAATTGACGTTACCGCTATGATTTTGTTTATATTTGGAAACTATCTAATACTGTGGACTACAGAATGCATATATAAAGCACCTAAGCTCTACATAAGCATCTTTGTGTTTACTATAGTCGAATACATAACATCTTTTGCGCCATTAATATTGTATTTTTACATGAATTTCTGTGTACCACAATTGCTAAGTAATGAACAGCATCTTTATTTTAACAATATCATTAACACCCTTTGTTACGTAGATGTTATTCAAAAGCTGCGAAATGAAAGCTATAGCATGATCCGAAGGCAAAGGGAAATAACACATGAGGTTTCTACAATCAGGCTCAATAACCAATATGCTAAAGATACAGCTTTGGATTGCAAAAAGAAGCAAGCAGCCTATGATGATCATTTACTTGAGAAAGAAGCAAAAGAAGAATACTTATCAGTAATGTTAGAAAGAGATGCACTATGCTGCATCTGCTTATCAGGCTATGAAGAGAATGATATATTAGGTCGACTATGGTAAGCTATAAGAGAAAAGGCTTCATATTAAGACTCTTTCTTTTGCTTTAGGTGTATGCATTATTTCCATAAAATATGTATAAATAGATGGCTTATGCTTGATCAAAGATGCCCTCTGTGCAAACAAGATTTTCGTAAAAAATAATTTAAAGTAATTTATATTGAATTTATGAATGATTACACCCATTTTAAGCTCTAAAAACAAACATGGTGCGATTATTCTACTTGTATAAAAAGCCTTTATCTTCGTACTTTTATTATGTTTTTCTTGTTACATTGATATACAGTTAATACGTATGAATTAGTAAGCGTCAATTAGCTTTATCGTACTATCAGTGGCAATACAGTGGTGTTTAACAATATTTAGTTGCTAATTAAATATTCCTAGACTAAATAAAGTTTAAACAGTGAGACAGTGTTATTTGATATAGTGGACAAGACAAATCTGATGCCATCTCGTTTGTTCAAATAGAGCAGTCTTTGGGCTTGTCACAACAACGAATACTACTTGAGGTATACTTTGCTTACTTCTATATGTTCTACCACAGGTTTCTTGTGGGTCAATCATGTATAAAAAAACCCCCGAGGATATAAAACTGTTGTCTAACCTTTATCTATAAATACCTTTCAACCCTATTTTACACTTTTTCTTTTTCTTTTCATTCTATAAGCAAAATGTTGCGTCCCAAGCTAATGTTATGGCCTAATCGCTTTTTCCGTTGGATAAAAGGCACTTTCAAGCCCAAGGAGACGGTGACTACGCACGATCCTGAAGAGTCTCCTCCAGTTCTATCGACTTCAGCAGAGACCTTTGTTACTACTAACGATGACCCCTCTTCAGAGTTATTCAAAACAGGGATGAAGTTTTTGCCTTTGTCGGCAGCTTCGTCCTCGGCATCTCTGCAAAGTAAATCCTGTGTTATCACTAGCCCTGTGGATACGTTTTTCACTGCTCAAGCCGCCATCGAATCTCCATGTCAAAAGGATCTTCCTACCATTGTGGATATTCACCCCAACCAACAAAAAACGAAGCCATTTGTTCCTCCAATTGTAACAAGCTTTCCTCGTCGTAGGTAAAGCCCTGCTGATTATAAGTCTAATAAAAAGTAAATGGCACATATAATTTGAAAAAGACAGGTATTAGTTTATTATTGTTTCAATTGAATTTGCATTAATTGACACGTCAATCAAGTTTGATTGAATAAAAAAAAGAAGTTAAAGTTGACACATAGTTGAGATTACAATAACGCATTTGAGTTTAGCCTATTCAAGTTTCAATTTAGTTTTTGATTGTTTCATGCAATTGTATTGTATGTCCTTGATTATGTACTAGTAGCTCGCCTTAGCGCTGTAGCATTCAGGCTATGCTTTGTAGTGAAATACAAATATAGAATTACAAGACGATTGGCTATATTGATTAAATCAGATCAACTCATCCTAAATTTTAAAGCAAACGTTGTCGCTGCTGTTATCGAAGCAAAACAAAGAGGATATAGTATTGTATACTAATAAAGATATATCTCACTACACACTTCAATTAACGAATTTGAGTCTACTTCTTGTACTTAGGAGAAAAGATAATCAGTAATTGCAGCAGATCCAACTCTGGATTTATGAAGCTGGATTATAATATACTTTATTTGAATCAATGATATTAATTGACAAACTTCCATTTGATTGGAACAGATCCATGGCTAAAATCACCCAGCTGCTCAAAAGCTATTATAAAAAAAAGAGGGTGTTTGTATCAAAAGCTGACAAAAAGCAAATATGATCTTACCTGCTGGGCTCATCTCAAGCCCTCCCGTTTGGCAAGTTTTGCAGTCATCCACAATGGTAGCCCTGACTGATTTGCCATTAGGTCCAACTATTTCTATAGTTTTACCACAATTAGGATTTCTACTATCAGGTGTACCCATTTGCTTAGAATTCAAAGCAGTAACAATTTCTGTGTTTTTTCTTCGTTGTCCACAAATGCCAACGTGTGTCTCCAAATCATAAAAGGTTCCTTCTCCTCGAGTATATCCATCATCTTTTGGAGAAGCACCAGCAAGCCTGACGTTGCTGTTGGGAGCAGTTTGCCCACTAGCAGTGTTTGCACCCTGTTGGATACCGTAGCTATTGGGATTGTTATATTGTTTTCGGGGAGAAAAGTTGTTGCTAGCTTGTTGGTTGCCATATGATCCGCCATAACCTGCATTACCTTGATTACCTTGATTGCCTTGATTATAAGGATTATTTTGCTGCTGATAGCCGTTGCTATAACCTGCAAGGTTATTAACGTTATCATAACGACCTTGGGGGTTATTGTTGTAAGCAGCATTATTAGCGTAAGGGCCACTGTTATAAGCAGCATCGTTGGCGTAAGGACCATTGTTATAAGCAGCGTTATTGATGTATGGATTATTGTGATTATAGGCAGCGTTATTGCTAGTACCATTACCATAAAACTGAGGATTACCTTGATTGCCATTAGTAGCCCCAGAAGCTTGTGCGTTGTTTGCATAATTACCGTTCATGTTGGCGGGCCCTTGTGGAGGGGTTTGCATACCATTAAAAGCTCCAGGAGGATAGTTATAAGCATTATGATAAGGTGCATCCTGGCCAGCGTACATCCCTTTATTTTGCGATTGTCCATCAGAAGCCATAGCTTGCCAATCTATAGCACCATCTTCGGTATACTTGATACCTCGTCGGCTTAAGCCATTCCCATTGTAGTTGGCATGATAAGGAGGATACTGTGCTGAATTAGGTTGTGATCCTGCTGAATTAACAGCATTGTATGGCATAGGTGGCGCTAAAATCAAAAAAGTAAAGAACGACTCATTTTGGATAGCATTATATATATATACCTTGTGCATAATTATTAACTTGATAGAGACCCTTCGCGTGGGCTTCGGCTATCTCGGGATGATGAACAAAAAACAAATCATTTGGAAAGTCAACAGCCAAAGAAGAACTTAATATTAATGAAATACATGCTGTAAGTATGAGCGGCTTCATATTTGTATACAAAAGAAGGCTTATAAAAGAAAAAAAGATACCACCCTTCGACGATGGCTTTATGTATAGTCCAAATCATGGGTATGTTAAGTCTCAGATGTTCTTCAACTCAGAATCAAGGGTATCAAGGGTACCGAGAGATCAACGACTGAAGCAAATAAAGCAAGAGAGAGAGAAAGAAAAGAGGATGTTTCTGTTTTTGTACCACAAGTTGCGGTGTTTCATTAGACAAGAGGATTTAAAATGTGTCCTGAGAACTACACTTCTTCTCTTTACCTTTACGTTATGAATCACACTTCTAACTCAAGAGCGGTTGACAGAGTAAGTAGATATAGTATGTTGCTCATATACTAATAAAGCTATTTTAGTGGAGTATAAGTAAAGAAGAAAGACTTTACTCTCCATCTATTGAAGATGGAATGAGCCTCGAGGAAGAGTTTGCATGGAGAATGCGTGGTGTGTGTTTTATTCAAATAGCAGGAAGTCGACTAGAACTGTAAGTAGATCTATTGTTTTATTCTAACAGTAAGAAATAAATAAATAAATAGGCCTTTACCTGTCGTTGGGACTGCGTCTACATTATTCCACAGGTTTTATACTGTCGCTTCACTCTATGAATTTCCATATGATGTGAGTAGCATTATAATCAAGCATTAATTCATTGACATTCAGTAGAAAATTGCCGCTACTTGTCTGTTTGTTGCTTGTAAGAGCGAAGAGACAGCAAGAAGAGCGTTTGATATAGCAAAAATATGGTCATTTGGAAGTGAAGAAGATATTTATGAAGAAGATATCGTAAGTTAGGCCATCTTTGTTTATATATTCCTTTTCGGTATTAATCAATGATAACAGAACGAATTTGCTGACGAAATATTGAATTATGAGTTGATCGTAGTAGACCTTACACGCTTTGATCTAGACATTGATCATCCCTACTACTATCTTTATGATATTTGTGAACAAATACAAGGTACAACACTTTATTTTTCTTCTTTACTACAGTTAATATATGTATATCCATGTAGTACCTGAAGAAGTGATTAATACATGTGTTGCTATGATGAATGATAGGTATATACACATATATTCACCCTCTTTTAAATATTAATTACCTCCTAGTTATCGATTACCATTCATTCAGTGGTATGGCAACAGGTTGATGGCAGTAGTACTGTTGATGATGTCTTTTTGTGGTTGTGAAGTAGAATATGAAATTGATCCTGATTCTGAGCTGGCTCATTATATGGAAGAGCACTCACAAGTTATTCCAGGTATAAGGAATGATTCTTATTCAAGATGGTTACTGACTGCTTTCAATACAATAGAGATTGTTGGTTCCGTCATGGACATGTATAAACTATTCTCCACCATATATGCGTCTCCAACTGGTTCGCCTACATTACCTTAACCGTGCAGAGAAATACGGAGAAGGGGGAGGATTCCCATCATTGTAAATACTTTCACATATTCTAAAATATCATTGACAATAGAATAGTCGCCTATTGCTTTACTTGTAAAAAGCCTATTAAATTAAATAGACATTTTGTAGTTATGAAGATACAAAAGGGCCCTTGCTGTATCTTTAAGGGAAAAGTCTGTGCAGTTTTAAAAGTGAAAAAAAAAAAAAACTCTGAAATAATGCTTTCTAATGAAGTAGTCTTGTTACCTGCTTATCTTTATCATAATACATCTTTAATACGTACTACTCATGACCACAAAGAAACAATAAACCAGCAGCGTAGTATAAATGTATTGGAAAAATTGTAAATGATATAATAATTCATTCATTACAAAAATATTAATCAAAGATAGGGAAATCATAGCCATACATTTCTTCAACAAGATCGTTAAACCTAGCCTTGATATCTAAATTTTCGATTTTCTTAAAGTCATCCTCGTCCAAGTCAAAGGAGAATAAGTTCAGATTGCTCTTCATACGTTCTATCTTGGTCGTCTTGGGGATAACAGTGATGCCACGCTGAATGACCCATTTCAGCAAGACTTCGCCAGGCTCGCGTTTGTGCTTTTCAGCAATCTTTTTGATCACAGGATGCTCAAAGAGAGACTGAACATCCTTCAGATTGTTGGGAACTACACCACCATAGACAGTTGGACCAAAGGCGCCATATGCAATAATATGGATATCGTGAGAGTTCACCCATTTGACAAGGCGCTTCTGCTGGAGATAAGGATGATGCTCGACTATTTATAAAGCTTTGTTAGTATATGTCAAACATAGCAAGAAGACAACATACTCTCAAGGGCAGCAGGCTTGTATTTACAATAAGTGAGAATATCAAGAATGGATTGAACATTAAAGTTGGAAACGCCAATATTGCGAACAAGTCCCTCATCCACAAGTTCTTCCATCGCACGCCAGCATTCATGTATAGGTGAGCGCTCCATCTTGTATTCTTTTTCCATGGCAATGTTTGGCAAGTCTTTGGGTTCAACAAAATGACTAGGGATTGGCCCTAAATAAAGTGAGAGGTTAATCAACACCTCTTCGGTCAAAAGAACAAAGAGTGAGACTTACAGTGGATAAGATAAAGATCAAGATAATCGAGACCCAGATCTTCAAGAGTAACCTTGATAGCCTTCTTCACAGCTTCTTTACTATGATGACTATTCCAAAGTTTGCTAATAACTATGGGGAGTTAATATCTATCAAAACATTTATCTCATTTTGTTTTAATTACCAAATAACTCTTCGCGTTTAACAATCCCGTCAGAAAGGGCTCTCTTGATAGCCTTGCCTACTTCTGCTTCATTTTGGTACAAAAGGGCGGCATCAATCAAACGATAACCCGTCTTGATAGCATTGTAAACCACTTCCTCTGTTTCTTTACGATCGATTCGGGCGGTACCGAGGCCAACAAGAGGCATCTTTTGTTTGGTGCGATTCAATTCAACATAGTTCTTTTGGCTGCTCATTTTCTTTTTCTTTTTTCCGAATAAAAAGACAGACTAAAGCGCGTATTTATAAGCAAAATGCATAATCGGAGATACTACATAACAGACTAGGGTTTAGAGGAGTAAATGCAATTTTTACGTAATCATGGAAAATGAAAGAATACTTTATTTGATAGAGAGGACTATTATAAGGTTATATCTTTCCTTTCTCAAGGTATTCATTAAATTGGAAGGATGGATCTGTATTTAAATATTCGTGTTCCAGCAGATTAGTTGCTGTAGGGCGTTGTATAGGATCACTATAACAAAAAATAAACGTCAAAACGCCTGTTTAACAAAAGGAACGGATTTTTAACTTACATGATGAAGCACTGCTTAAGAAAGTCTTTTGCGCAATCTGATATATGATCTGGTATATTTGGGGAATTTAATCTTCCGAGCTAAGAGCAGTAAAGATGTTAACAAATGTAATACATTTATATTTCATGACATTACGTTATAAATAGCAGCTATCTGGCTCAGCGCTAGCCATGGCCTCTGCCCTGTGAGCATTTCTAAAACAGTACAGCCTAAGCTCCATATATCTACTTTGGCGCTGTAGGGTTCATTCTTGACCACTTCTGGAGCCATCCAGTAGATAGAGCCTCGAAGTGACATTCTAGAGTTTTCGTCATACACTTCATCATAGTCATTCTTTTTAGATAATCCAAAGTCAGATATTTTGCATATACCATCTTGCTCAATTAGTATATTGGCTGCTTTAATATCCTAAGCGAAACCTTATTAATGACAATAAGATATATATTGCATCTACTTTACTCTGTGAAGTATATTTCTTGAATGAAGGTAGGCAAGCCCTGAGCATATTTGCTTAGTTATATACCTTGTCAATGACTCATCAAATGGACCATGAACAGATAAACGGCTTGATAAGCTTCCACCGGAAACGTATTCCAAAAAGATGTTGATAACACCTTCTGTATCATCCCTGCCATAGCCTAAGTACTGAACGATGTTCTCATGGTCCAAATCACGCAACATCATTATTTCTTGATAGAGAGCCTCTACAACATCATGTTGATGTTCATTCAACATATCCGACACTGTTTTAGGCACTTCTACTTGTTTCACAGCAATAACTTCGCTTGAGCCTACGTTGAAGGCAAGGTATACTTTTCCAAATGAGCCTTTTCCGATCAATTTACCACGTATCCACTGAATGGGCGTACCAGAGGTATTTGCATGCGATAAATTCATGTGCTCGCTCACAGACGGAAGTCTTGTTATGACATGAGCACTTTTTGACTTTACTTCGACCAGGCGCTGTCCCCATAGTTTAGTGCTCTTACGACGCACCATTGTTTCCCCTGTCTTTTTGTATTTTCGACTAGCTTCACGTGCTACCAAGCGAATCGATTTAGTTGAGCGACGACTTAGAGAATTGGTAGCGTCCACGGCCACCTCAACCTCCTTATCCAAATCCTGCTTGTCAAAGTAACGTTCCATGTTGTCAAACACCACTTCTGCTGGAGGCCGTTCTCCCCAAAATTCTTCTTTTGCAGAATCAGAAGTGTTTGAACAAGAGGATTGCCGAGAAGACTTGCTCAGATCAGGTGTACTTGGATGAGACTGATGATGTCGTTCGCTTGAATTGGCAGGAGGAACAGCCCAGAGTATGTGTTGACGCGGTGGGTCATCGGATGAACAAGACAATTTGGAAGGTGAAGGGGGAGGGAGCGAGACGATACTTGTTTTACTCCTTTCTTCAAGCGGAGTAGGTGGGTCTGAAAGCTGCACACCAAATGATGATCTTTGCATTTTTGTAGCTCCTTTTCGGCATAAAGTATAATGTTTGGATGAAGGGTTCATACTGCTATACAAAAAGAGTGTTTGTTAACACCAGAGATACAGAGGCTCTAAAAGCTTACCTATACCTCTTTGATGATTCAGTGGTCGGTGATTGGCCAAGCTCAGGGGTACTAAATGAAAATGGTGATTTGAGTATAGGCTTGACAAGTAGCCTTTGAGAAGCGGATTGGTCAGCAGTAGAGCAAAGGTCCATTAGTTCATGTGGTTCGATAGGTAAATCTAGAAGGGTTTGGTTACACACACATACTGCAGCACTTTATACTTCGTACTTGGATTGGGACCATTCTCATGAAAGTAAAGATAGTCATCCAAATGCCCTTCATAGTTCATTCGATTAAGCACAAGCTGCTTTATCGTTACTGGATCTCTAATGTTTGTCACATTCAAACTATACCAGGTTTCCTTGTCTCCTGTGACTTGAATTCTCTGTTCCTACAAGCCAAGATAAGATTATTCCCTTCTCTCCTGCTTTTATGGTCCTTACTTTTGGCTGTTGATTAGGTTGTTTCTTTGGCGAATGGTGCCAATAGTTTGACCAAAATTTGGATATTTTATCTGGAGTGCGCTTATTACCTTCATCGCCCGATTCATGCCGCACTGAACGCGGACTTGGTGTCGGTCCATTCAGGGATGAAGCTGAGTTTTGTGTTGTTGCTGATCTGAAGGGGTTTTTAAATTTATTGAATGCAGCTTTTGGCGAATAAGACGTATAATTTTTCCGATTTGTGGTGCTAAAGGGAGTTGTCACTAGATGATCTGATGAAGGAGAAGGAGTAGGGGACGGCGATGGAGATGAGGAGTATCCTTTGATGTGATCCGAAGAATGAGAGTAGGGTGATATATTTGGTCGATAGTCGTGCATGTTTGTGTTGATAGATATCTAAATAAAAGTAAGCAAAAGAATGGACGTAGTTGACCTTGCTTACGTGTATAGGAGGCGGCGCTGAGGGATGATCGCTGCTATCGCTATTGTTAAGGGCGCGAATTTCATTTAAAAGTCTCCGTCGTTCATAATAAGTCGTCATGGATCTATACAACTTGATGTTGTTATGGATATAAACCCGAGAAATAGTTTGATCGGTATTAGCTGTTACCTTGGCAAATACTCTACTAATTCAGCCAGGGATATGTTTAAAAACTTTTCATGACAGATATTATGCTCTATTGTATACATATAAGTTGTCTAATTTTCAATAAAATGTTTCAAGACTCACTTTCAAAGGTAGAAGCAAACTGTCCCCATCCTTTATCATTTAACCACTTGACAACTTTTTCTTGATTCCAACAGTCAGGTTTGGTCATTTGAAGTGTAGTTGACAAATAAAGAAAAAAAAGGGAATACAGCTGCCCTACCCTCAAAGTTCGTTTTCCAATGAACAGAATCGTTTATATCTCCGACTGCAATTCGTTTTTTCTATAGCCCAGAGTTCGTTCTTTGATTGGCCAAAGCTCGTTTTTGTAATTTCCCCAAATCCGCTTTTGCATCACTCAAATTTGGTTTTGATTTTTAAAAAGTTCGCTTTAAGAATATTAATTTCAAAGGCTTGACTTACAGTGCTTCCAACAAGCAGTGTCACAGCCAACCAAAATCGACGTCGCTGGCCAATGAAAAATGATGTCACAGGGCAATCAAAATTGATGTCGCTGTCCAATCAAAATTAACTTTATATTTTCAGAAATCATGTCGTAAATCTTGGCACTGGAAAAAAAATATAAATTGAAGAGTGGTAGTTTTTTTTTTTTTATCAATACTTTGCTATTTAACATGAATACAATATTTTTATATGAAGATGGGCATGGAAAGGTTATTGATGAGAATGGCGGCCCTAAGCCTATGGACTACATTGTTGATCAGAATGGATTTATTGTTGAGACAATTGCCACACATACTGAGTACTTGAAAAGTACTGCCTCCAGTGAATCATCTCTGACTTGCCCAATGTTGATAGAGAATACAAAAGACAAAGATATCCGTATGAAGGATGCAAACACGAAACGAGATTATGTGCGTTATACTGTTCAGGATAAAGCTAGGTTTTTTGATTTGAAGATCGAAAAGTGCATGAGTGCGTCAGCTGCAGCGAAGCAGTTGGGTATTCACATTCGAGCAGCGAAGAGATGGGTTAACCAGTATAATGTGTGTCCTGATAGTATTTTTGAGAGTTGTAAAAAAGTAGGCCGTAAGTGCATCTTAACCGAAGAGCATAAAACGGTTGTTATCAACTTCATTGATGCTAATCCTTCTGCTACTGTTGTTTAAGTGACCGAGCATTTATCGACGCAATTTCATGATCTTAAAGCCTCACGCAGCACTGTCTATAACTTTATGAGAAGTGAATGTAACCTTTCGTTGAAGAAAGCAAATTTTCATTCTATTGAGAGAAACAGTTCGGCAAAGATCGAGGAACGACACGATTGGGTTTGCAAATGGGAGAATACGGACATGAATTTCCTGATGAATTGCGTGCTTCTTGACGAGCCTGCGTTTGATACTAATATGAAACGCTCACGAGCTTGGTCCAAAAAAGGTTCTCGTGCCATTGTTACCAGACCCACTACGAGAGCTAATGCAACGTCTATATTTGGCGCTATCTCCGCTTCGGGTTTGATTGCAGTTGGCGTGAAAAAACCAAGACCTGCTAAGAAGAGAAAAGCTGGTGGATATATAAGCTCAGGAACTGTCACAGTCCACTACATCAGTTTCTTAAAAACGACTCTCGATGAAATGGACAAACATTTGCATATGAAAGGCCATTATATAGTCATGGATAATGCACCCATTCACACGCACGAAAACATAAAGAAGTATATTGAGTATCAAGGATACAAATGCGTGTATCTTCCTACTTACTCTTCTGAACTTAACCCAATAGAACAATTCTGGGCGGTGGCAAAGAGTAAGGTTAAGCGCCATAGGTTTTTGCAGGAAGATACTTTATCAAAAAGAATTACAGAAGCCTGCAAAAGTATGGAGAAAAGTCACTTCAAAGGCTTTGTTTCACATTCTTACAAGTGCTAGGATAAATGTCGAAACAAGGAGCCTATGTAATGGCATCGACAACCACATCAGGAGCCAATAGCACAGCGATTAAGAAAAAAATAAGCTACAATCAGATCGGCAACAAACAATTTTAACTTTATTACATTTTTTTTATGTAGGTCATGCAGCATTGGCAAGTATTTTTAAGAGCACCAAGTGTAGGATACTTCAGAAAGATGTTGGACACTTGAGTTGGACATTTCAGAAAAGATGTTGGACAC